TAGCCGAGAGATTGCGTAATTAATCGCGAGACTTAATCGACTACCGAATTAATTGGGACAGATTTACGATCGGGGAGGTCTGTGACAGTGGAGCGCGATACCGCTCGTCGACGATCATGAAGTATCACCGGTGCGTGCAGATGACCGCGCGGCGGTCGCAAATGAAAAAGACCGCACGGGAGCGCGGCGCGATTCGACGACGTTAAAGGGACACGGATCGTACATCACCGACCGTATCCCGGAACACCAATTCCACCCGGCAATTTCACCAAAAAGGAAACGATCGAGCAAAACGAGTTTTTTTTTTTTTTCACGCTTGACCGGTCAGCCGTTCCGCGTTTCCTCGCGCTTCCGCCTCGCCAACGAGTGCGACACGATCGGTGTCCCTAGTGTTTCGGAGAAGCGAAGAATCGTCGCGAGTAAATCCTCTCCTCTCCCGTGGTAACGAGCTTGCGAGTCCCGCGAGGGCAAATAATTTGGGCAACGAGCGAGGGCTCTCGACTCGCCGGCGTGCTTCAACGTCTACCTAATTAGCAAACAGTCGCCGCAGAGTGTTTCCGCGGCGACGGTTCGATCTCCTCCGCAACGTTTCTCGCCCCGAGGCCGGGCGACTTTGATCAAAAGACCCGATCCCCTGATTCGTCAGAGGAGTCGTGCAAATTCTGGCCGCCGGAAAGACGCTTACCCGATTCCCACCAAGAGATTCCCTCGTCACCTCTCCAAAAAGAAAAAAAAGAAAAGCTTCGTGGAGAAGAAGATCGGCGATCACGAACGTTTCGCGCAAGTAAAAAGAGAGAAAAAGAGAGAGACTGGCAAGAATTCTCGTTTGTGACGATGGAACGAGGCAGCTACTCGACGCTGGATCGTTGAAGCGGCGTAAAACACGTGGTGAAACTTCGTTCGTTGAAAAGTGCATCCCGCCGGGAGAGATTCAGAAATTAGAAGCAAGATCGACGCGTTTACGCGATCCCGTCGGGGCTCGAACGTAAAGACAAGAGAAGGGGTCGACGCGAGTGCATCGAATCCCCGGTGCTTGTGTCGAAAGGAACAACGTCGCTCCGGCAAGTCGCTAGAGATGCAAACGAAGATAAAACTAAGGTAGATCGGAGGAACTTTCGTTCTGTTCGCGAGGCAAGTATCTCGTGCAAGTTACAAGGGGACAAGTTCAGCACGACGATGACGTGAGAAATTGAATCCGACTTAGGATTGACTTGGCCGACGAACATGAGTAAACACGAATCGTCCGGGGATTCAAGAGGGAAGATACCTTGTGATCCTGCGTGACGTAATTAAATAAGTGCGAGACTGGAGAGGCATCCATTTGAGATTGAAAGTTGCGCGTTCGCGAACGAGAAACAAACGTCTCCGACGGGGCAAGAAGTTCCGCGAGAATGGACCGTGATTGAGAGTGAGAAGAGCAAGAGAGAAAGAGAAAGAGAGAGAACGGAGAGAACGTCCGAGAGTGAAAAGGGGCCGAGCACGACAGACGGGAAATTGTAGAATCGCTGTTGGGAGAGATATCCTGCGGGTGAGCCGGTCAGCCGACGGTGATGGCATGAGGACATTAGTAAGGAAGAGCTGCGGGTCCAGCGAGGAGGAGGATGAGGATGGTGGTGGGCGTGATGGTCCTTGGTCAGCTACTGACGAGGATTTTGCTCGCTGCCCACGCAGGAGATCGACTCGCGGCAGCTCGCAGGATCCTCAGGGACGTGCCACTGATAGACGGGTGAGTAAAAGGAAATTACCTTAACACACGGTTCGGCTCTAGTGCCACCGGCTACTTAAGAAAATTTTGTTGTACAGTGCCGTGTTGTAAATTGCCTATTTATGCACGTGGCTCAGGTTTAATTGAGAAGAATGCAATTAGAACGATATGGCATTATAAAAATCAAAATCAAAATCAAAATCAAAATCAAACTGCATCGCAATGAAACGCTGAAATCTGAACATCGACACTGCACGATACTAAAGCAGCCAAGATTGAATATCACCATTGTCTATTGACAGAAAAATGAGACTCGACATTGACAGATCCGTGCGTTACCTTGCATACTCTTCTAGCGAAATTCTACTGGATAAAAATTTAATAGGATAAAGAATTTAAGGTCGATTAGGCACAGAACTCAGAGTGGTTATATATATTTTACAAACGAAAATGAGAGAGAGAAATACCGTGCGAACAATGGTTCGCATATGCTCCGTTAAAATATCGTAACGAAACGATAACGACGAACGAGAAGGTTTATTTTTCGATGCAACGGGAATTAACTTCTACGATGTTCAAACGGTGGGTTATTTTTCAAATAGAACGATCCATTAATCGTTCGGGGCAAAATTGCTCGAGTTGCAATAAAATTCTTCTGCGGCAGGTGATTAAAAAAAGAATTAAAAAAAAAAAAGATAAAAAGTGAGAAATAAAACGCCATTCATAGAAATAAATTCCTCTCCGATCTCTCTTTGATCTTCAAAAATTGCCGTCGAACATTTATACTGCGACGAAGATCGCCAGGCAAAAATTAATAGGTCCCTCGCCGAGGATCGATGTGAAAGATTCAACGCGTGTAATCGCGTTCCGCCGAAATTAAAGGAAATCGATAAGAAATTCCTACCGTAATAAATTCATATTCGTCGTCGACGGACGTCAGCCCTCTATTTATATAGCCCGAAACAGACGACTGTTTAAAATCGAAGTTTAACTGAAATGTCGTCGATCCGTTTCTGTCCTTTATCGGACGAAATATCGGTTTGTTCTTATTTCGCGTGCTTCTTGTTGCAATCTGCATGACTGCATGGACAGTTCTGCGTATGCGGGATGTTTAAAAATAGAAAGGAACCCACGGAATATGCAACATGCCCACGACACAAACGTTCCTTTCCTCAAGCTCGTGAAACTGTAAATCTGCATGAACGTGCGTATAATAATAATCGTGACCTTTTTTTTCTTTTTTTTTTTTTCTTTAGCAAAAAACGAATTTATGAATCTATAATTCGTACGTATTTACGTTTTACACGTACGTGTATTGTTCGTGTAATTTTTTATATCTTCGTTCGCGTAGTATTCCGCTGTGAGTGGTATTATCGTACGATGTGCGCGATTCGATTGCGGTTGAAACGATCGCAAGTGGAATTTCAAACGAGCTGGATTCAAGCGAGGAGTTGACGTTTAGAGGTGGTGGGTAACGTTTCCCTGTAAAATCCGAGAGACGAGAGACGGCCGGTTCCTCTCCTCTCTCTCTCTCTCTCTCTCTCTCTCTCTCTCTCGGTGCTTGAATTTTTGGCGCACGCCTGGCAAAATTGTTGAAATTTTAATGAATAACTGAAAACTCTAGTGTAATCGTTAACTGGAGTGCCACGAGAGGCACGAGACTCGCAAGGCACAAATTTATAGCCGGCGTGGAACAATGTCGTCGTAACGACGCGCACGAACGGCGTTCTATAGCCAGAGCGTGCCTCTAATTACATCGGAATTAAGCTCGAAAGGAACGTCCTCCATGTGTCCGATTCGCGATCGAACGCCTCTTACCTTCCGCCTCTGTCTACAAGAGAGACAAACTTTCTCAATTTCGCAATATTCATTCGCGATTAAAATCGAAAGTTTTTTCACACATATATATATATACACACATACCTTTTCTTTTTTTCTTTTGAAAATTGATGTCTCTCCACGGTGTGGAAAAACATTGCGCTGACAACCAACGTAGCTGTCTCGTCGTACAACGAAGAAGCGAAAATTGTTTTTCATTGATGTAACGACCGAACGTGGATATAGTATCGGGTTTATCATCCGCGAGAGAAAGAGGAGCGATTCGACTCGTAGAAACTCGCTAGAGCAAGTGTGCAACCCGCGTTGTACAAGCAAAATTCGAATAATTGAATAAGAATTGTATTATTTTATATTTATTATATATTATATATTATAATAATTTTTTTTAATTTAGTGTTGGAGTGACTAATTATGAATAATTTACAAGGAAACGAAATATTCTCTATTTTAGACGGTTGGCATATTTGCTGCTCCATAACTCAAAGACAAATTTATCCAAGTGTCTTTATTAAACTTTTATAACCTACACCTGCCTAAAGAAAAATATTCAGCACTTCAAAAAACATTCGAGTACATATGAAGCACACGAAAAATAAAATAAGAATTTTAGACGAGCATTCTGAAAATACTCTTCGTATTGCTACTGTCTGTATAAAACCAGATATTGATGATTTGGTATCTAAAAAAAAACAAGCTCGGTGTTCTCATTAAAAATTCCCATATTCTTTTTAACCCCTTGGCTACGGCAGACTTTGAATCGCGACCTAGACTGAAAACGGCGAAATTGAACTCGTCATTTTCACATTGAAATAATCAAAACACTGAATTCCACTGCATTAAACCAATATTATTTTTTTTTAGTGCACGCACTAAAGATTTAAAAGTAAACTTCGAAACTTAATTTTACAATATATCTGATAATCTAGTAAAGTGTGGTACGATTCAAAACATGGATAAAATTGGAAACAAATTCAACAGATAATCCTATATCACATTTCTTGCATTCGTAATGTGCCTCCCTTATACACTGCACATTTGCACCTTTTCATTTTAAGGGGATTAAATGAAATAACTGTAAAATAATCATTAAATAATATACGACTAACGGAAGATGTAATTGTTAAATTAAAATTCATTAACGTTCTGATCCAGTATTTTTTGGTTGCAATTATCGTCAATAACATTTGCCTTTCGTTCGAAGCAAGTTGAGCGCAAATGAGGCGTGAACAATAGCCAAGGGGTTAATTAATATAAATATATATTTCCCAATCAATGTATTGTTTCGCTACTGAAAGTTGTTTCAGTGTCTTCTATAAATAATATACATCGAACTGATAGAAAAAAATATGTAAACTATGCACGGATCTCGACAAATTTTTGTTGGCCAATGAGGCCCAAAAGATCTGAAAGGTTGAACGCTCATGCGCTAGAGAGTCGCCTCGTTTTTTTTTTTTTTTTTTTTTCGAAGGTAACGAGAGAATTTCACGAGCTTTTGAAGAAGTGAAGGAAGAAAGTTAACGAATGAAGAAAGGGGGCGAGAAATTGAAAGGAGACGACGACGAAGGGGGACAAGTCGGAAAGTGTGAAAAGAATAAAGAAAAGAGGGATAGAATTTATCCAGGGGATAGCTGGTGGCTATTGGTCTTTTGCTTTCTCAGGTTACCCGGAGGAAGATACGAATTTTCGCTGCTGCCGATGGCTGTGAAACAATCCCCCCGTATCTCCTTTGGCCGCTTTCGTCGGTCGCACTCGTCCCTCGGCACAAGCTGTCGTTGTGTTTGCGTATTTCGTTGGCACGCGACCGTATCGATATTTCCAACCCCTCTCTCTCTCTCTCTCTCTCTCTCTCTCTCGATAACTTCTCGAATCGAAAGGCAACAATGGCCCTCTTCTCTTCCCCGTGAAACTTCATCGCGAGCAAAGACGCGTCGCGCCTTTCGTTGGCTCGTTCTCGACACGAGTTTTCGTTCATTCTCCGACCGGCGCGTTGTTTTAGCAATTACAACGCGATCGAAATCCCTACTGCCTCGCTTTGCATTGAAATAAGCGAGTCGATCGAGCCGAATTATCGCGTTTCCCTTTTTTTAAACACCCGTGTTACGTATGTAACTGCGTGACAACGTGTCGCCGAAGAAGGTCTATCGCGACGCGACGTCTGAAAAAATAAGCCAGCGGATCGCGATAAAGACGTAAACGACCCTTTTGTTGGTGCAAATTACGGTGGCTCCTCTCTGTCAGGCGCTGTCGAGTCGTTGGCTAGCAGAGTCTCTTTCACCCCTCGTGGGTCGCGATAGAAATTCGAGAAGTCCTCGAAGGTATCGTCTGTATAAAAGAGTAGCACCGCGCGGGGAGGGAGGAGGAGGGGAGGGGTGAAAGAGGAAGGGAAGTGGAACACGAGCGATTTCGCCGATTGTCGACGACCTGAAGGCGATTCGTTACCGATAACGAGTGAAAGCCTCGTCGGGCCTATTGTGCCCTGTATAATAGTTTGCATTTTTCTCCTCGGCAACGGCCACCAAGAGAGACAGAAAGTGAGTGAATGAGTGAGTGAGTGAGTGAAAAAGAGAGAGAGAGAGAGAGAGCTGACAGAGGGGGTTACATGAACAATCGCGCGATGAGCGTCGCCGCGTTGTTCGCGAGACCGTAAAAATGAATGAAAAACCGTTCGTCGGAATTTTCGCCACTGGCCAATTCGAGCATTGTGGCCGAGCATTTTCCGTTCGTACGCGAGAAACCTACGAGAAAACAAAGACCCGCCGGTCGTGTTTCGCTTCATTAAAAAAAAAAAAAAAAAAAACGAAACAGAAAGACAAAAAAGAAATAGGGAACCCTGTCGTCGACTGATCCCTACCTACCTGTTCTCGCTCGACTCCTCGATAATAGGCGACCAAAAACAAGCACCTTTTCTCTGTCATCAACCCCGCGTTATCATTGCCACGTTTCCGGCTGGGATATTCAATTGTAAAGCCGAAAGAACAAACGAACGTTCGAATCTCGTCGTTCGAGCGAAGGGGAAACGAAAGGAAAAAAGTAAAGTCAAAAAAGAGTCAAAGGCAGAGAAAAATTCAACGAGCGTTTATGCTTCCTTCCTTCTGGCGAATGCAATTTCGAACGCGAGTCGTTGTTTTGCGTTTATTAAACCGTGGACCGACAATCAATTCTCGAGTTCAGAGGATGAAAGGCCAACCGGCCTTTCCATCCTCTGAGGAGAACGCGGTCGGATCCGCGAAAATATTCGTCCGCCAAGCTGATAACCCGTTCAGACATCAACGCCGTGTAATTACGCCGTTCAACGATTCTGTTTACAGCGTTCATTGCCGCGCGGAAATATTTAATTACCCGAGGGGGGGGGGCGCGTTCCGTGCCGCTGGACTGCAAAGGGTGGCTCCAGGGCTGGTCTTGACCCGCGAAACGAAAGTGCGCAAAGGGCGGGTTTCCGCGTCAGAGGCTCCATTCAAACGTTCTTTTCGCGAGCAAGAATACGCGCAATAAGAAACCACGGGCCGTTGGAACGTTTCGTGGTCATTTCAACTTTCGTACTCAGCTTGGCCGCTCGGAAGACTCGCGGGAAGTTCCGGATAATTTTCGAAATCCAGCTCTTTCGAGCTGTTAAACCGTGCAGTGCAGTCTCGCCATTCGAGGGACGCTCCACGCTCTGCTTTTCAATCCCGCAGGAAATTGTGAATTTTCGACCGCGCTTCGCGAATTTCCCTACGCAGATACAATGAGCAGTCGAAAAGAAAAAAAGATTGAAAACTTACCTTTCGCAGGCAAAACCTCGGACGCACGATGGAACAAAAGCGGAAATAACAGCGATTTTCCACGACGAGACGCAACAAGTCTTCGACTTCGAAGTCAGGAAGCGAGTTCGACCGCTTCGACGTTGTTGACTTTGTTGTAGATATTGAAATCGCAGAGAGACAGAGAGAGAAAGAGAGACACACACACACGGAGGGGAGAGAGAGCGCAAGTGGTAATGTAGTCGAGACGAACGAAAGCTAGTCGCGCTGAACATTATCATTCTTCGAGAACCGACGCGATACCGGCGAGTGTTTGAAGTTGCAAGCTCATCGCGTCGATATACACCGGTCGTATCCGCTCAACGGCGCATAAATGTACAAGCACGCGGATAAGGTGCAGGCGTCGCAACCAGGCGCAAGTAGCGTCCACGATGATGCTCGAAGCTTAAAAGCAGAAAAGGAGATTTAGGCCGTCGTAGAATTGGCCAAGTTCGCGCAGACTCGAGTGGCAGATGGAGATGAACGTGGTACACGGTTGTCGATGCCGATGGGATATAGATCCGACTTAATCTTCTGTTAACACGTTAACACGTTGTCGACCGGCAATTTTATCTCATGTCATCGACTATTATTTCGTAATTGAGTATGAAAATGAATGAATTTAAATGAAACTTTGTATATCTCTTATATATATATATATATATATATATATAATATTTTATACATATTTTATAATATATTTTAGTAATTTTTTTTTGGATAAACTGTATTTTATATATATATAAAATAAAAAATAAAAAATATATATATATAAAATAAAAAATATATATAATATTTTATATTTTATAAACTGTATAATATATATAATGTTTTATACATATTTTACATATATTATATTTTATAATATATTTTAGTAATTTTTTTTTTTTTGATAACCTGCATAGCAATCACCTACGTATAGTGGTACACAACAGATTTTGCAAATATATCTGGTTTCGCTGCGATTTTCTTTTAAAGAACATACTTTACACGCTCTAATTGGGCTTTTTTTTTT